GTCATTTTATAAAATTTGAATAACATTTACCAAGCAAAATTTTGAGGTGACGTCATCACACTGGTGGGTACGATTAGACAAATTTTGGTTACCGTCTAACCATCTACACGATATTCCTAAAATATATATAAAATTTGACAACAATCGGTTGAGTAGTTTTGGAAACCCATATTTTTGAATCAAAACTCGCCTGACCTGATCAGAGCTAAACTGACATGCTTCCGAGAGTAAGAGAAACATTGTCCCAACTTTTTAGCTCATTTTTTAAAATATACTACGACCTTCAATAAAAAAAATGACACGTCATCAGTTCTCCCAAGAGCATCAACGAACCCATTTTAATCAAGCCGTAATCACCTGCTTTGTCCAAATATTCATTTTTTAGGCATAACCCGTGTACGTAAAAAGGTAGGCATAAATGTTTAACAGGTAAAACCGGAGAGTGAAAATTTCAAATCGACGTCATCACTATTCTGGAAGGGATAGTTAGTTACACAAGAGGAAAGTGTTACGATTCCCACTAGCTACACGCAAACGGAAAACTTGCATTTTCGTATCCACACTACACCCCGCCTCGCCTCACCCACCCCCGCCCGCCGTCCGTCATAACCACCCCGTCGTCACCTCGCTCGCCCAATTACCCGCTCTCCCCCGTCCCGCGAATCGGGAAATGAGCGTAACCGATTTTATCGACTATAAATACAAATGGTGCATTGCGATGGCAGCCGCCACCTGCGCCGCGACGCCGCAACAGCGCGCCAATCAATAGCGCTCCCTCTTCGGCCATTTTGTCTTGAAGCCATTCCGTCGAGCGCGAGCCGGACCTGTCCGATGCCAGTTAAAGCGGGCCGTACGCAAACACCTCACGTGACACCAGGAAGAGAACGTACCGAGCGTTCGTTATGTTGTGTCGTATCGGCGTGTTGCATCTACAGGGCACTGCTCGCATGCTACAAATGCTAGACCAGACGCAATCGGGATGTCATTATTTTAACAATGCGTTGTCGGCACGACAGGGGATCGGGCGGGGAGGGGGCGGAAGTGCGAGTTGAAGAGCAGTGATGGGGTTATGGGAGGTTGGATGGGTTGGCGGAAGGAAGTGTTCTTGGGTTTTTGCTTATCGGGTTTGGGAATTAGCAGTGGCTTTGTTTTGTTTGTAATGAGATGTCGTTGATGGTTAGTTAAGTCGGTGTGGAGTTTGTAGGGTGAGACGAATGGTTTTGAATTAATCACACTGGAAAGTGGAGGAGTGGTCGGGGTTCGAATCGGGATGAGGTTGATTGTTTTTGTTTGATAATAATTAAAGTGATAATCGCAAGTAAGTTTCTGCAGAAGAGGGGAATCGTCTGCTTATATAGATACAGGAAAAATGACGAGTAGTAAAGTGGTTTTATCACTTCATCAATGGCCAACTTTCATTAGTTTTTTTTTGGGTAATACATCTTCCGCAAAGGTTTCGGTTTAGAAGTCAATACGAGTTCTCTTGGGATTGCAAAAACAACAAATAAATATTTACTCAACATGTACACAGTTAACATCTTGTTTCTGAGGCAGCGATGAAAATATGTGAAAAGTTATGTTCTACATTTGAAAACAATGTTTATTTCATCACGTCAAGAAATCACAAGAGGTGTAAACAAATTTTTGGCGAAGAAACTGTTTTTTGTTTCAGTCGAAATGTTCAAGGCTCAATACAGAATTACAGAATGGTTAAAAGTTTGACCAGTGGAAGAAAAAGAAGTATTGTTTTTCTTTTAGGTTTTCTCGACGTTTCATGACCCCCAAAGTATGTACAAGTAGGTCCTAAGTTTTTGTCTCTCTGTTCGTCTGTCAGTCATCTGTTCGTACCGATTGTTAAATTTCAAATCAATAATAAATTTATATCCAATTTGATGATTTACTATATACCTAGTATATAGTAAATCCATTTTATAAGACTCTTGTTCTTGGGCTTTATGAATCCGCCTTAGTGTTGTACTTTAGGGCAATCATCAAATTGAAAATAAAAATGAAAGTATCGGAATGCGTCGGTCGTGGTGTATCAACGGTGGCTATTATAAAAAAAAATCGTAAAATCAAACTTTACAATTTTCAAAGTGGCTGCTTCTGTTGGACTGTACTTCAGGACAGAGGAATGTTCTGTCTAAATATCCTTAAACCATTTTTTTACAATAACTGAATGTAACTGAATGTAACAAACTATACATATATTTATTAATTTGTTGCTTGGCACATTTTTGAGGTGACGTCATTAAAATTTTGGTGGGGATCAAACTGATGACAACTTCAAAACTTGTACCTACTAAATTTCAGAACTACGCGTGATTTTTTAAATTTCTGCTGTAGTTACCCATGACGCTTACGTCACCAGTGAAATTGATCATGAGCATAAATTTTAAAAATCACCCGATAGTTTCAACGATAAATTGTAAAATTCTATTATATAACTTAGACTTTTAACCCAAAATCTAGATATTTTAGGGAAGAAACAACTACAAAATTTGACTATATAATATACACGGTGAGTCATTAAGCCTGGCTTCCGTATTCCTTTGTTATTATAAGAGACAGTACTTGCGAAGATAAGACTGATTTTGGCAAGTGACCTTCTAACAAAAGGGAGGGTGGGTGGGCGGGGCTAGTACCTGCTACGATAAGACTGATTTTGGCATATTAGATACCCCCTAAGAAAACAGAGGGTGGGTGGGAGGGCCCATATATTTTACTTACTTTGACTCACTTTTGAAATTTTGATATTTTCTTTGTGTATAATTGTTTTGCTAAAAAATGTAAAGAAAATTGGAACAACGTCCGAACATCACACTGGAAATTCAAAAATAAACTACAGTTTTAAAGCCTTGGAAGAAAAATCTATGGAAATATATAAAAAAACTAAGTTGTGTGTTATCTTTCGAAAATAGAAGACTCTGTATTGTTGAAATTTTAGTATATGAACCCTGTATATTTTTCCATGTGCTGATTTATAACCGTCGTTAATTTTTGTAGGGGGAAAGTTGCAGTAATAAAATACAAGGTGTTCCGTTTGAAAAGACTGAAGTATTGATATTTGAGAATTATATATACAGGGTGAGTCACTAAGCGCGCAGTCCTCGAGATCTCATTAATTATTAAAGATAAAAAAAAAAAAAGACCAAAGTTATATGTACCTATTATTTTTGAAATACAACAAAGCCCGTGTCTTTATTTATCCTGTCCACAAATTTTTATAACACAGATTTTAAAAATAACCTTATTGCGACTTTTTTTTGTGACGCATGACATTGCTAAAAATGTCAATTTTAAAAATATACTAATAGGAAGAAGCCAATGAGATTGTATAAAAATACATACGCTCTGTATAGTTGAAAATAATTTTAGTGTATGGCATTCTAAGAACTTTCGTCTTTCTAACTTTGTTCTTTGACTTTTTTCCTCTTTTCAAAAAATACTATACAAATACATATCTTAGTGACTCGACCTGTATATAAATTTTACGATGACGTCATCAAACTGTTGCTGTGGATGAATAAACAGATTTTATCTTCAAGTACACTCAAAATTCGTCAGTAGCCGGTCTAAGCAATTTCCAGATCACGTGTCTAATAAAATTTCTAACAGACAGACTGGCGGAAATAAAAATTGACAATAACAGTGGAAAACTAGACACACAACAAACACAAAAAGACGGAAATTTAAAATAAAAAAGTAAATGACGTCAGCCTTTTCTTTTCAAAGAGAAAATTGGAAAGTTTTTTCAAGTGAGTGAAATTGAATATTTTTAACGTTTTCAGTGGTACGAATTTGATAATTAACTAACTCATTTTAGTTTCACTTTTGAAATTTTTTTGAAATGATGCCATTCTGAGACTGAAGTTGAAATTTGGACTAATTAATCTATATAAAAAATCTATAAAATGATCGTTGCTATTAGTATCTGTGTTGGATTTGCAGAGAATGACACCCAATTTTTTATTTCAAAAGGAAGTAAATAAGTGTGTTTTCAAAATCTCGCATTTTTATCACCTTCGTATCCGTATTTCGTTTACCGAAAGCTCGAAAGTGCTTTTCAAATTTAAAGAAAAATTAGCAAGATGACAACTTTGCTTAATTTTGCGATCCTGATTTTCTTGGGAAATAAAACACGACAATTGTCCGTCACCTCTGGACACTTCGGCTTATTCATGCCACAAGTATGCCGTCTCTCTCGTTATTTCCGCAACCATCCGTCTTTTCTTGGCCGTTTTAGTACCGACTTTTACTTATCCTTTATCTACGCCAAATTTAATGCAACACGATTGCTTTCCCCGGGGGACAACGTCCTACAATCGAATTTTCAGGTCACCGCAGCTTATTTAAACATTTTCGCAAAACGTGAAATCGGCATCACATTTTCAGCAAATCGTGAAATTAATTCAATCGCTTCCGGGAAAATATTTCCATGTCGTGGCTTTTTATTCGGCGGATAAACGCAATACACCGACCACTAATAGAGATATTTTTGATTAACGCACGCAATAAACAACAACAAAATATTCCATCAGGAACATGCCCTTTGCAAAACAATTTCATCGATTTCCCGCGCGCGATGAAAATCCCGATATGAAAACATTCGCTTCATATTTATTTAAACGCGGCATTGTTTTAATAACAGGAATTCGTTATTTAGGCCGCGTATCAACAGTTTTATCATTAACATCGCGATAAAACGAAAAATGGCTTTCTGGGTGCACGTGCTCGTCGGACTGGGGTGGGGTTGATTCGGAAAAAAATGACCGACTCCAGGGGTTACACTCAAGCCTAACCCTGGAGTTCGCTTTTCTAAGCTATTAATCGCACGATTCGGGGACTTCTGCTATTTTGGTGTTTTTATATTTCGCAGAACCGCGTCGAAAATACCGCTTTATTGCCCATCGAATTACCACCGAATATCCGCGCTAATAAAAATTTAATTGTTCGTGGGATACTAAATTTATATGGTACAGGCGCATGTAAAGACTTACCCATACGCTGCCAGGGCAGGGTCGTAGGGGTAATAACCCGTCGTGGGCTGGAGGCCGGCGCTGGTCCACGCAGACATGTCTGCTGCGGTGCCCCCCGCGTCCTTGAGGGCGTAAGGATTACTCTGGAAAAGAAGAAAAGTCAAGTACTGGGAAAAAACCGGTTCCGGAACTTTCTCCAGCGAGGCTGGGAGTTTTTTGAGTTTGAAAACTTTCTCGAGCTGTGGATGTTTGCTTTCGATTTTGTTTGAGGTTCCGCACAGAGTTTGTTCCTTTATTTTCTTATTTCCCGAGCGTTAGATAACGTGATCTCCAAAATTTACAACAGCAAATTAATTTTTATTTTCATAAAATAAGATATTCCTGCATTGTGGTATATGAATCCGAGTTGATTTTTGACCCTAGACCTTCAGTTTTCAGGTTATCGTAACGCAATCTTGGTAAATCCTAATCAAAATTTATTCGTTTTTCCAAAATTTTGTAATGGAAAAACTCACTTGAAACAATACTTTAACATTACACATATACTTTAAATTTTAACTTATAACAGTTATCGTAAAAAGTCGCAAAATCAAATCAAATTTTTCGTTTTCTTTAATTTTCCAATTTTTGCATTTTTCAATGTTTTCGTTCATAATTTTTCGTTTTTTCTACTTTCATTTTTTCAATTTTTCGTTTCCTCAATTTCTCAAGGTTTTGAAATGTAATTTTTTGAATTTTTTAATTATCATCTTCTCGATTTAATATCACATTTTTCGTTTTTCCATTTCTTTTATTTTTTTCAATGTTTCGTTTGATTTTATAATTTTTCGATTATTCAGTTCTTCAAATTTTCAATCTTTGACTTTTTCAATTTCACGTTTTTCCAAAATTTTACATTTTTGAATTTCTCAATCATCCGATTTTCCGATTTCTTAAATTGTACAATATTTCGATTTTTCGATATTGCAGTTTGTCTATTTTTAAGTTTCTCAATCTTTGATCTTTGGATTTTTCATCAATTTTTGATTTTCAATTTTTCTAGTTTTCATTTATATTTAAAATAATTGTCAAATAGTAATTATAATTTTTAAAATTTTTCAGTTTTTCAATTTTACGATTTTAGAATTTTTCCATTTTCCAATTATTGGATTTTATAACTTTTTGATTTAATTCTATTTTTCAATTATTTAGATTTTTAATTTTTCAATTTTTGGGTCTTTTGATGTTATGGTTTTTTCGATATAGTTTTGACTATTCTACAATTTTTCGATTCGATTCATTTTTATTTCTTTTTCAATCTTTCGAATCGTTAATTTTTTTCGATTTTGAGTGTTTTAGTGCTTCGATTTTTCGTTTCTTGAGTTCTTCGATTTGCAATTTTTCGATTTTCCACCTTTTCGATTTTCCACTTTTTCGATTTTTCAACTTTTCGAATAAAAAAAAAAAATGGAAAAATTACAAAATCGTGTAAATAAAAAATCATAATTGAAAAAAACGAAAAAGATAAAATGAAAACTTTGAAAAATCTAAAAATGGGAAATCAAGAACTTGGAAAATTGAAGAAACGAAAAGTTCAAAAATCGAAAGATTAAAAATTAAGAAACTTATTAATCGAAAAATTTTTAATTTTTTTTATTCAAAAATTTGAAAAACCAGTCAATCAATACTTCATTGGTGTTAAAAACTTATAAATCCAGTTTTAAAAACGAAAAAAAAACACGAAAAATTGCAAATCGAAAAAGTGGAAAATCGGAAAGTTGAAAAATCAAATATGGAGAAGTTGAAAAATTAAAAATCTAACCATAGAAAACCGAATTAATGAAAAAAATTTAAAAATCAAATACTGAAAAAACGAAACATTCAAAAATTGTACAATTGAAAAAGTGAAGAATTTTAAAAATTATAATTTATTATTGAATTTTTACGTTGACGAAACAAAAAAAAAATTGAAAAAAATCTAAATTAGAGAAAATGGAAAAATAAAATATTTAAAAATTGAAAAACCGAAAAATTAAAAATCCAATACATAATTGAAAAATTCCACATTGACAATAGTACATTCGATTCAAAAATTAAAACACTGAAAAACTGAAAAATTGCAAAAATGAAGAAAATAAAAACCGAAACGGAAAATTGAAAATCGAAAATCTGAATAAATAAAGGATTGAAGAAAAGCGAAACTCTGGAAATTTTAAAACGAAAAATTGCAAAATCTAGATAAACATTGAAGAAACAAGAAAAATGAAAAACTGCAAATCGAACAACCGCAGAAATGAATAATTGAAAACATTCAAAATTGAAAAAACCAAAATGAATATACATATATGTATATTACAAAATCGCAATACAGAAAAATCGAATAATTGAACAAATAGAGAACGAAAAAACCGAAACGAAAAATTGCAAATCGAAAAACTGAAATATTATAAACTGAAAAAAATCTAAAAACTGTTAAATCTAAAGATTGAAAAGTTGGAAAATTGAACATCTGAGAAATCAAAAAAATTAAAAAGATGAAGAATTTGTTTACGCCACTGGTTTTTATTTTATAGAGGTTATTACAAAACAAAAATCGCATTTTTTTTTGTAATTTTTGGAAGATTGGGATTTATTGGACTGCATGTACTTCAGGACGAGGGAAGTTCTGTGCAATAACCTTCGAACAATTTTTTTAACTTTATAGAGGTTATCACAAAAAATCGTAAAATTAAATTTTGGATTCGGTTTGAAAGTCAGGTTTTTTCAAAATCAGACAAATTTCTATATTTCAACCATTGACGATTCTGGAAAAATGGTACTAATTTTAAAAGAAATCGAACCGAAAATAACTTCTAGAAGTCGAAAGACAAAGAAATGTCTGGTTAATTTTTGAAGGTGGTTGAAAAATGATCAAATATTTCATTTTTTGAAAAATTGTAGTGAAAAGTCAATAAAAAATCTACAAAAAATTCCAAGATGTAGATGTCAACGTGCTAATTCGAAAAAATGTGAAGATCTTATTGTTCCAGAACACAGAACAAGATTTTCGAAATATGTATTAGGTCTGAAAACAATTTTTTTTTTAATAAGTAATCCCAAAAATTGACCCATCATTTCCATTGGCGATTTTGCAAAAATATAAAGAATTTTCGAAGAAATGAAGCCGAAAATAACTCTTGCAGGTTGAATTCTTAAAAAAAATGTCTTTAATTTTTTAGTGGTCGATGATAAAAAATTTCACAAGGCAGATATTGAAAAATCGAAATTTTAAAAATTCATAAAAAAAATCTGGATTAATCTCTACGTGCTGTTTTGAAAAATATAACATGTTTATGGTCCCTGATCAAAATTTTCGAAATATTCGGTTTGAACGTCTAGTATTTTCGAAAGTCAAAAATTGTATTTTTTTATTACAATTCAATTAATTGTAATAAAAATCCGAAAATAACTTCTTTGGATCGCGACCTACACAAAAATGTCTGGCTAATTTTCGAAAATGGTGACGTCATCAAATTTTTGGGTGGGAATAGTGAGACCCATTTGACAACAGTTGAATCGTTAGTATCAGTAAAAACCTAAGTAGACTATAGAGAACAGATAGACGAAATGGAAGAACTACTTTTCCACATTCTAAGATTAACGAAACGTCGAGAAAACATGAAAAATATCATTTGTGCAAAGAAAAATGATTAAGTTTCTTGACAGTTAACAAATTTTTTGAAACTTTCCACCGAAGAATTGAGATTTCTCGTACTCTGAAGACGCTCCTCTTCCACGAACGAGGAAGAGCCAGTCAATCTCGAACGCGCCGTCGGCCGTCCGACCATAAAAAACGCGCCAGGACCCCCGCCAGGAGCCATTGTCCTGTCGCCGCAAGCTGAGATTCTCACGCTGAAGGATCGATGGCACTCCACACTCGTAGTCAGCTTTTAAAATTTTATAATCTTCAGCATCCGTTTAATTGCTTGCTCCAACAGCAATATCAAAACTCGGACATGTTAAAACCGACCACTAATAAAATAAACGGCTGTTAACAGAAAAATATAAAATTCCCCTGTTGTTTTATGGATTCATTACAGACCTGTTTGGCATTCGCTGCGCGACCACAGGAAAAATGTCTTCTTCTGGCGTCAGGCTTCACGGGTTATTCACCTGGCGCTGCCAAAAGCACCCTCGAATTTAGTTTCACTTAAAAACTATATTGTATTGAAGTAGTGCAGCTCCGATTGCACGAGCGCACGCTTCCGCAGCCTCCGAACCCACTGCTATCCGCCTAATTGCTCATTTTCCGCAACAAGTCCTCCCGAAATGAGCAGTATCAATTGACTGCTGTTTACTGTAGTATAATGCCGGTAATTTAGTGAACAGTGGTTAGAAATGGGCTTTTTTATAGATGCCGTAACGGCGCGAGGCGCGAAACCCTCGATCCATCTTTCGGCTCCCTCGGGTCTCCCCCAGTCTTCTTCCCGCAGAAAGATTTACGCACGCAGAATAAATATAGAGTGGCGAGGACTTGGGGCTGAACACTTATATAAAGTGGATTTCGAAATCATATCCATCAAATAGGCGAGCCGAGGCTTGCGTCGGAACGCGCCTTTAGACAAATCGTTAACACCGACACTAAAGGGGTTAGCTTTCGACTAGTGTTAGAACGAACAAAGAATCGACGGATATGTAATATGGATGAAGGAACGACGAACGCTCGACCGGTTTGCAGATGCTGTGAATTCTGCTCGGATTAACTTTATTTGGACGATTTTGGTTTGGTATTTATTAGGTGTTGAGAAATCGGAGGACTTTTATGGAGAGGCGAGATGCCTTTTTTTGTCGTGGAGGAAATAAAAGGAGGGCGCCGGATTCGGGTTGCGGTTGCGGTATTTGAATGCAACTATTTCGTGGAAGTGCGCTCTTTGTGTGTATCCTCATGGTGGCGATGACGATTTTTAGCACTTTAGGAAAGTCCAGACCAAAGGTCCGAGAGGCGCTGTCCCCTAGATGGCGCCTTATAGAAAATAATAATAATATATTACACTATCGATAGTTGAAAATAATTTTACTTTTTACTTCCTGAGCGCAAGCTAATGGTGTCTCTGAAACTACTGCACCGACTGTTGTCCTATTTTGTACGTATATTAAAAATATCACCACCAACAATTTGTTGATG